TTTGCAATGAAGCTGAGGGGTTATATCACTGTAACAATGCTTAATGATCCTGTTGAGCTCTTAAACAAACTGACCTGATACAAGGTCCAGCCTAAAGCTCTGATCGTTTGCCACCAGCCTCAGGGTTTTGGAACCTAAGCAAACACGATTGAAATCAAACGTTAAATCACCAGTGTGATCCTATGACTCAAACTACGAGGCATCTTTTGGTCTCAAAGCCTCTTAAGTGTAAATAAGTGGCTCCGTGTAAACACAGCTACATGATAACTGTTAATAATGGACTGCTGTCTCAGAACTAACATCTGACCAAAATTTAGTGAAGGAGCTGCTTTTACAAAGAAAAGCTTTTAGTCTTGGTAACAGGTCTATCCATCCATCCATTTTCTTCCGCTTATCCAGGGTCGGGTCGCGGGGGTAGCAGCTCAAGTAGGGAGGCCCAGACTTCCCGCTCTCCAACCACTTGGGCCAGCTCCTCTGGAGGAATCCCAAGGCGTTCCCAGGCCAGCCGAGAAACATAGTCCCTCCAGCGTGTCCTGGGTCTTCCTCTGAGTCTCTTCCCGGTGGGAAGACACCCACCTCACCAGGGAGACATCCAGGAGGAATCCTAGCCAGTCTACATGTGCTTTTTGGACGTGGAGAAGTCATTCGAGGGGAACCCCAAGGGGGGGGTGGGGGGGGGGGGGGTGTAATCCAGGAGTATGGGGTACCAGCCCCTTTGATACAGGCTGTTAGGTCTCTGTATAACCGGTGTCAGAGCTTGGTTTGCATTGCCGGCAGTAAGTCGGGCTCGTTCCCGGTGAGAGTTGGACTCCGCCAAGGTTGCCCTTTGTCACCGATTCTGTTCATAACTTTTATGGACAGAATTTCTAGGCGCATCCAAGGTGTTGAAGGGATGAGTTTTGGTGGCCTTAGGATCGCGTCTCTGCTTTTTGCAGATGACGTGGTCCTTTTGGCTTCATCAGATCATGATCTACAACTTGCGCTGAAACAGTTCGCAGCTGAATGTGAAGCGACCAGGATGAGGATCAGTGCCTCCAAATCTGAGGCCATGGTCTTGAGCCAGAAAAGGATAGAGTGCTTTCTATGGGTCAGGGAGAAGGTCCTGCCCCAAGTGGAGGAGTTTAAGTATCTTGGGGTCTTGTTCACGAATAAGGGAAAAATAGAGCGAGAGATCGATAGGCGGATAGGTGCGGTGTCTGCAGTGAAGCGGGCACTGTACCGGTCTGTTGTGGTGAAGAGAGAGCTGAGTCAAAAGGCGAAGTTCTTGATTTAACCATCATTCTACGTTCCTTCCCTCATTTATGGTTAGGCAAACTCTCATGCACCCTCCAGGACCCTGCTGAGAGTGAAGAGCTGGTCCAACGTTCCACGATCAGGATAAAAACCACACTGCTCTTCCTGAAACCGAAGTTCGACTATCCGATGAACCCTTCTTTCCAGAACCCCTGAGTAGACCTTACTAGGGAGTCTTAAGAGCGTGATCCCCCTGTAGTTGGAACACACTCTGCAGCCCTCCATTTTGAATAGGGGCCACCATCTCTCTCTGCCAACTGAGGGTAACTGCCCACAATGTCCACGTAATATTGTAGAGTCGTGTAAGCCAACACAATCCTACAACATCCAGAGCCTTAAGGAACTCCAGGCGAATCTCATCCAACCCCAGGGCCCTGCCACCAAGAGCTTTTTATCCACCTTGTTGACCTCGGCACCAGAGATTGGAGAGTCCGACCCAAAGTCCCTAGGGTCCGCTTCCTCAGTGGAAGACGTGCTGGTGGGATTGAGGAGGTCTTCGAAGTACTCTGCCCACCGAACCACTATGTCCCGAGTTGTTGTCAGCAGCACACCACCTCCACTATACAAAGTGTTGGTGGTGTACCGCATCCTCCCCCACACTGAAACACAAGATAGTGGACCAGAATCACCGCAAAGCTGTACAGAAGTCATTCTCCATGGCCTCTCCAAACTCCTCTCACACCTAAGTTTTTGCCTCAGCGACCTCCTGAGCTGCATGCCGGAGCTGGACTGCCAATACCCATCAGCTGCTTCCAGGGTCCCACAGGCCAAAAAGGCCTGATAGGACTCCTCCTTCAGCCTGAAATCATCCCTCACCACCAGTGTCCACCAACGGGTTTGAGGGTTACCGCTGCGACAAGCACTGACAACCTTGCGGCCACAGCTCCGATAAACCGTCTCGACAGAGGAGGTGCGGGACATGGCCCATTAGGTCTCAATGTCCCCCACCTCCCACAGAACGTGTTCAATGTTCTCCTGGAGGTGGGAGTTAAAGCTCCGTCTCACGGGAGACTCTGCCAGACATTCCCAGCAGACCCTCACAATACGTTTGGGCCTCATCATAAGGGGTCTTTGGACTGCGGTCTCAGAATTAACATTTGACCAGAATTTAGTAAAAGAGCTGCTTTTTTAAAAGAAAAGCTTGTCGTCTTGGTCACAGGTTTATATGAATAATTTGAAGTTATCCTGCAGCACAGATCCATCAGATAGAAAAATGAAAGATAAACGAGAATAAATGGAAGTAGTGAAACTCATTTTTGTATGATCTTTGGCCCTCAGGGCTTCGGGGAGGTTTTGCTACAGTAACGTTCCTGATTTTCCTCAGGACTCTTGATGCTACACAAATCAACACTATTATAAAAACGTAAAAAATAAAACCTTATTTTAAAATGAAGCTTTAATTAAGTGTGCTTTTTTCATTTTTTTTCCCTCCAAACTGCACCTGTTGTCTTTTTGAGCCAAACTAAGCTTATCATTCATTCACTCGGTCCCCCCCCCCAAACATACAAAGAAAAACAAGAAACTTAATATTTACAAATATTTCATCTGTTTGATCTTACATGTAAAAATGTACAGTTATGAATCTCGTCTAGATGTCTTCTTCTTCACATTTCCTGCTGACTGAATTAAACCTTCAACAATGGCGCCCTCTGGTGTTAGCTTATAAAACAGCAGTAAAAGGAGCAGACGGGCGCTAAAGATCTCATTTCTTTTTGCTCCTTCAGTGAGATCTCTGTAGCTGTTGAGGTTTACTTCACAACCCCTGATGCTTCCTTTCCCTCAGACGTGAGTACAAAAGGCAGACGCGTTCCACATAGACAGATTAACAGATATTCCTCTGGCTGACACTGTGGACAGAAAGACAGCCATATTTCTGAATCAACTTCTCATCATTCCCCCTCTTTTCTGATCCTAATTTCTCTTTTTAAGGCGGTGAGTCTTTTCCCATCTCGTTCCAAAGTCTCTCACCCATAAAACGTCCCCATTCTCGTGCTGCAGCCCTCTGCAGCATCCGTCCACCTTCACTTGCTTTGTGATTTGAATTGTGCACGTCTCCATTTTTATGGGCTTACAAAATCTCTGCCCGGAGCAGCTATCACCCCACCCCATTCAAGTCCTCTCCCACCCCTTTCGACAGTAATAAAATAGAAAACAAACAGGCTAAAGCTAACGCACAAGCAAAGACAGCAACGGTGGTGGACTTCTCCCATACTGCATGTGTTTCTGTGGGATCCGATGGTTCTGCTAATCGACTGGATTCATCTGTTTGACATCTTCATCTGAGAATCATTGGGGGGGAATTGCAGGGCTGAAAAAATTATATGTTGCTAACCAAATGGAAGAAGCCCCATCAGAAACAGCAGACATCACCCATGTTGTTTCAACCTTTTGCAGAGATCAGAACGTCTTTGGAGGTGCACCGGTTCTCCTCACTGTGTTTACAGCTGGGAGAGCTCGCGCTGGAGAACAACAGCAGGGCCAGACTGAGGGAAGAAATCAAAGTTATGGTGAAGAGGATTATTTAGTTTGATTGGTCGGTTAAAGGAATAAAACAGTACAAGCGTGCTATGTCATCACACTTCATCTAACCTAAAATCTGATTTTCATACAGACAGGTGATGGGCTTTCTGATGGTTTGCTTCTTCACCGTATTAGGTATAAGTTAATAATTAAAGACATCTGTGATAATAATTGAAAACAAATAGTGAGTCCAAAACAGCGACTTTGCAAAGTCGTTAGTAATGACTCGTTCCTTTTGGATGAACGGAGTGAAGCGCAATAATTTCATAAAGTTTGGGAACTTCTGATGGGTTCAGAGAGAAAAATCAGAAAGTGGATCAAGATGTTTGACTTGATTTTGGAAGCGTGCATCAAAAAGTTTTGCGTCCTTTCCCCCATGTTGTCAACTTTAAAAAATAATTCATGCATAGAGCCCTACTGAGAAAACCCCTTTTTTATATACTTTCTCCTTTGTACACATTTATATAGAACTATATATAGTATCATTTCTCTATATCTATATTTCCAGCAAAATAAATCTTTCCACAACAAAACATTTAAGCCAATACCTGAAAGAAACAAGCAAACAAACAAAGATGAAAAAGAAAACCACAATCGACAGCCAGTTTGGCACTTTGTCTTGAGAACATACAGTCTCTGTTAGTTGACAGTAAACAGGACTTTCTAGATTTTTTTTCCTTTGATGAGAAAGCAAACACACTAGTACATAGTTGGCACCAAATATGCTGGTAGAATGAAATCACAGATATCAATATTTCATAGCCATGTTTCCTGTGCGTGATGCACTCCCCCCAACATCTCAGTACGTCAAGAGCATCAAGAAGAGAGAGACCCACAAGCTAAATGAGAGGAACAAGGCTATAATAAGACACAGATGTAGAAAAATAAAATAAAATCCACGTAGCACACTAAGGGACAGAGATAATTGACATCAAAGTAAAAAAGAAAACATCAAAGAGCAAATACACCTTTGTCCCTTTGACAGTTCCTTTAGACTGAAAATTGTGGACCCTCATTGAACGATTTAAATCACCTCCAAACTGACCATCTGCTCTTCTGCAGTTCATTTCTGTCTCCAAACACCAAGAGTGGAGGGTCCTGCTAAACTGTACAGCACAAGATGGAGTTGTGGAGTTCCTTTAAGAGAGACAAGAGTATAAAGTATCATAAAGGCCCACATCCAGAGACCTTTCTGCTAGATCTGTAGGAGATCCAGTATTCCTGGTCCTTAGGTGGTGCTGTGTTGAGCTAGTCGCTACTATACCCTGGTGGTGGAGTGGGGGTGGGGCAGGGTGTTGTTGTGACCGGTGGAGGGGAAAGTATTGAAGGCATGAAGAGGCTGCATGCTGGTGATGGTGCTGGGGATCATGGTGATGGTGTTCGGCGTCATCAGTGGCACATCGTCTGGGGCGCGGCGCAGTGCCAGCGTGTAGTCGGGCGGACAGGCGGGTCGTAGGATGTCGTGCGGTCGAAGGGGCTCCATATCGTGGTGAGCGTCGTGCTCCGAGTGCTTCATCTGCAGAGACATAATCTCCTCCTCCTGGCTGTGAGCCAGATCGTTGGCCGGCACGCCTCGCTGAGGCGACAGCCGGTGCCGTCGCATCTCGTGCCGCTTGTCGCGCTTGTAGTAAAGGGCAGCAAATGCCAAGATGTTGAGGAAGAGTAAAGAGGCTCCTACAGCAACTGTGACACTCAGCTCAGTGGAGTAGTCTCGGGTGTCTCCAGGAAAGAGGTCCTGGTGTGGACGCTCCGAGCCCTCAGGCTCAGTTTCAGAAGGGAATGTTGGGTAAGGGTGACGAGTCGTTCGAGGACCTGGAGTCCTGGGCCAGGGTCTGATGGTGCCAGGGCCAGGACCAGGGCCAGGTGGCAAACGGGTAGTGGTTGTTAAGGGCTCACGCATACTATGAATATGGGGGACTAGTTCTAGCCAGAAGGCCACCTTGTTGGCCCTGTAGTTGTCCCTAACACGAGGTTTTAAGCCGATGTGAAGATACTGTTTGTCCTTTGGATTAAACTTTGTCCAGATCACCTCTTCAAAGCGGTTGGGCTTGGTGTGGATGAATTTGGTGTCCTGGGGGACAGGCAGGTTGGGGTCACTAATAGAAAACAGAGGAAGAAGAAAGGTTTAGGTTTTCACCAATCATTAAACCAAACAGAACAATCCAAGAGATAACAAAAGCTTCAAGTACTTCAGACCAAGATTCTTGATAGATCTTACCTCAGAGCACACACATAACCTAAAATAGATCAATCTTAATTGATACCTACCCAGTTTTGGCAAAGTTGGTCCAGTAAGTCATGACCACTGCGCTCAGCATCACATCATTCTTTGAGAAATTGCACGGGAACAGGTCTGTGGCACCAATCATTGGCACGCCAAACACATACGGTATCTCATCTCCATGCGCTGCATCGGCCCATTCTGGTCGTGTCTCAGTCTGGCAGTGGTGGTAGAACGTATAGAAATAAACCGGGGACTGAAATTCAGCGTGGAGCTTGGCTGTGGCCACTGCTGGCGCCACCCATTGGTGGTCAGTAAACAATGCCAACAGAGTTTTCCTTCTCATGTCTCCATTGTCCCTGTCCGCCCAGTCTGTGTACATGAACTTGATGGTCTCCCTCAGAATGTCTTTACCTGTTGGGGAAAATGTGAAATGTACGTCAAAGAAGGTTAAGGTGAGTAAAGGTTGCTAAAATGAGCCAATATACCAGGATTGGTAAAAAGCAAAGGTGCATTTCTGCATGTGAGCAAGACATGCATAGAGGTGAGATATGCAACACGATGAGAAGCAGAATTTGCCTTTTTGTTTCCAGAATGACTGACAAGAAGTTGACAGGGAGCGCGACTGCATTATTCAAATGCGTGTGTATTTTGACGGTGTGCCACTGCGATGCTGATCTGTTAGGAACAACAGCACTGTGATTGGGAGCTGGCTGCCTGGGGCCTGATGAGCGACATCATTAGTGCCCGCAGAGCCCCAAAGGCCAAAGCACAGACCCACCGCGGTGAAAGATAATCTCCATGATAGGCAATCTCGTTAGTATGCCTGTCTTGGCATACTTCAGGGCTCACATTTCATCTTTTCTCATCTTTTGCCCACATGTGGTTTTACAAACTTGCATTTCGACAAAACGCTGTGGATGCAATTTTTTTTTATGTTTTCATAAATTGTGTTTGTAACAGAATACCTGCAAAAATACTTTATTTTCATTGTTTTTTTGTTTTTTTTGTTTGTTTGTTTTGTACATATCCCTGAAAGATGTCACCTCAAAACTGTCAGAATGAGCCAAAGGAGTGGTTTTGCTGCAGGATTGTGTCAATTGAAGGCAGCAGAAAGGGGATTTTGAAGACAGATGTGTGGGTTGGTGTCCCTCACCCTCAGGATATCCATAAAGGTTGTCCACAAAGTTGGAGATGGTGTAGTCAAACGCTGCGGCAGAGATGCCGTCGTTGTCTTCACTGTCATCCACAAACTTCAGTCCTTCTCCTTGGTTCACTCCTATCAGGATGTCATAGTTGAGGAACTCCCCCTGATGGCCAAACAAGGGAACAACAAGTTTAATGATCAAATTAAGACCAATCTAAAGTCACCATCAATAAACAAAATCACAAATTCAGTATTTGGTTCACTTTAAACTACTATTTTTTTGTTATAATTGTTATAGTTAATTGAATAAATACAAATATGTGAACTATAGCATTGCCATTCATGAGTAGTTGTTGTTGCGAGGCCATCACACAATCAGTGAGGGAGGAAGACATAAAATCTACTTCCTGCTTTGGCGTGATGAGCTTAAATACTTTGTATTCTTTCAAACAGGAGCCAAGAAAAAGCTCTCTTAAATATTAGTTCCTCCAAAGTGCATCAGTTTATAGATTAAGGTCCTTAAAATAATGATCTTTTGGAGCTGTAGAAGTTTATTGTGCCCGTTAAAATACAGTGAAAACTCAAAGTAACAGACCTCTTGGTTCCCACCTCTAACTATCTCTTTTAGGGAAGTAAGAGGAAAGCAGCTAAAGAAGTCGCATTTTCTGATCGTTCATGGATTATTGATCATTTTAGGATGAGATTAATTTCTAAAATGTTCCAGTTTGTTAATGTTTTGTTCTTATTTAGGGGATTCTTATTGTTTAGAAAATAACATACCTAGCATTCTTTAAAGAATTCCAGTTCCCTTCCGCCTTCAACGCCACAGTTTTAAACAAATTTCTGTCCAGCGCCCTGAAACGACTTCTGTTGTGACTTGGCGCTATATAAATAAACTGAACTGAATTAAATTCAAAACTTTATTTGTATTTTTACATGTTTTATAAACAGGGTTATGTTCATTTTGGTCACATCGTGAAAATACCAGGATGTGCAACCTCACGTGATATTGTAAGATTTGTAGCTCAGAATATATGTAGGGGATGACTCTCAGCTACTACATCACTAAATTGTAGGTAGACTTGTGTTACGACTAAAACCCAATTAGTGTTTTCTAATACTGAGTAGCTGAGGAGACCATCTTGAATTGGGTCAACTCCAAAATTATTCGGTTATAGACATAAATTCAAAGATTACTTCATGAGTTACATTTAAATCACTCGCCTGGTTCATGAGATATTTAGCTAATAGTCAAACAAACACACAAACAGGAGACTATTTAATTATAGCCTGCCTTTCATCATGCCGTGCAATTAAAATATTAGATTTTTTTCCCTCATTGAGTAGATTGATGTGAGAGAAGGCTGTAATTTGAAATAATTTAAGGCAGAAAGAGTTTTCCGTGTAGAATTTCTGACTTGTGCCCCTGTTAAACTTAAGAAACCCTAAAAATGAATGCCAGTAAGAAACATTACACAGTAAACATGGAAGTAAATTTAAATGTTGCTATTAAAAAGCAGTTTTTTGTGTGTACGGTACTTTTATGACTTTGTCACTGCAAAAGGAAATAGCTTTCAAGAAAAACAAAAGCAGGAAATCAGTGTTTGATGAAACAACACAAGCGTTAATCTAGCTCTGATGATAGCTCCATCTTCTAATACAGATCTTGTTGTTCCATGTTTCCCTAACAGAGCACTTTACTCTCAGACTGCAGGTTTACTTGTGGTTCCTAGAGTTTCCAAAAATAGAATGGGAGGCAGATCTTTCAGTTATCAGGCTCCTCTCTTGTGGAACCAACTTCCAGTTTCCATCCTTGAGGCTGACACATTGTCCAGTTTTAAGACTGGGCTTAAGTCTTTCCTATAGTTAGGGTCAGCTTGGGTTTCCTGAGCTGTCCCTTAGTTATGCTGCTATAGGCTTAGACTGCTGGAGGACAAACTGACCACATTTCTTCACTCTGCTGCTGTCTTTACTTACTCTACCCGTTTTGTATTTGTATTTTTTTCTCTATCCTTGATGTTTTTTTTGTTGTTGTTGTTTTTCTTCCAATAGGGGTTACACCTGCACCTACATCTGGACCATTCACATTCTGTGTTTGTTTGTTTCTACTTCCTGTTCCTCTCAAATCCAACCGGTCGAAGCAGATGGCCGCTCGTCATTAGCCTGGTTCTGCTGCAGATTTCTTCCTGTTAAAAGAGTTTTTCCTTTCCACTGTCACCTTTGTGCTTGCTTAGGATGAGAGACTGTGACAGAGTGAAGGCTCATTGAGTCTGCTGGCTTCCTTAGATACATTTTACTAATTGGTTTTTATGAATGTTTCTGTTCAGTGCACTGAGACAGCTTCTGTTGTGATATGGTGCCATGTAAATAAAATTAATTGAACTGAATCTTATGATAAAGGGTTTAAATAGCATATCATGTTTTTTAAGAGATGTGGACACAAATAAAGACTGAACCACGGCTTTACACCCTTCCACCATCAGAGCTGTTGTTGCTCACTGTACTGTGAGTCAACACCGGCTGCTAAATGTCACAGCTAGATCTCCAACGTGGATTAAAAGGTCACAGACACACCTTCTCTGAGTCCTCACTTGTCTGTAGTGTCATCACTATAACACCGTCAGACAGTCCAGTTCCTCACCTGCTGCATGAGAATCTCAGGATCGTCTGGCACCACGTCTCCGTCCACCACAGGACCGAAGGCGATGTGGTAGCGGGCCGGTTGGATGTCCTGGTCCACCAGCTCCCGGAAGGTCTTGCGTCTCAGGCAGTCGACGAGGTCGGCTGTCTCGGAGTAGGTGCAGCCCACCTTCCGGGCCAGGATCTTGGTGTACTTGAGGGGCTGGTAGTTGACGGACCAGCTGGAGATGGCCGTGCCACTCTGAGCGATGGCCCTGTGGAAGAGACCTGAATGGACAGGTGGGAGAAAAGGACACTGGTCACACATCTCTTTCCGCCAAAGATACTGTACATAAAACACTTCCAAGTCACACTTTCCTTCCTTCCTACTGAAAGTGTTGGACAGCAGATCTGTAGAAGCTTAGCTAAAGCATGCTATGGACCTGTAGCTCAAAATATAGAGGCCGGACTGGGAATAAGCTCTTCTGAAAGTCCAAAGATCTGTTTTTCTGTTTTCTTTCCCACTCCTGTTCCATCTCTACACTTCCCTGTCCCTCCTCCTCTTTGTTTCTATCCGACTCTTTAGTTCTGCCTGTCCTGAGCTGCTGAAACCACTCGAGTGGCTCGTTAAGGGGCCTCCTGCCTCACTCGTTTCCTCTCGGGCTCCTTTTTTTTTTTTTTTCCTCGCTCACCTCTCCCGGGCTGAAGACCGGTCAGTTAATTATTGAGGAGAGCTGCAGAGTCTCTCGTCCCTGGGAGATCAATTAAAGTAAAAAGTAACTTGGAAACAGCTACAAATATCTCTGCACTGAGAGAGAGACAGAAAGAGGTGGATGATGACTAGTCCATTAGTCTCAGTTCTCAGTTTGGCTTCAGCGCTCTTCGTAGTGTCCAAACATCTTTCTACCCATTTTATCCTCGTCTGTCCAACACATCTAAACAAGCGGATGTTCTGTTTTGGCATCTATCTTTCACCCTTTGTCAAATCAACATTAAAGAGCCCCTCCCTTCATGTCAGCCGACGCCCCCTCCTGCATAGCTCTGCTGTCGGCTTTGATTCGTAACAAACTGCTGTCGACATGACCGGTAACCCTTAAGGACGACTGACTTCTTACCTGACATCAATGACGGGAATAAGGGGGGGAGCATGACAGACAGGTGGCGTCTAGAGGGTTGATGTTACACCGATAGATGCTGATGAAGAGGAAGACGATGGTGGGACGGCAAAGCAGAGACATGGAAATGGACAGGCGACAGAGGGAAGGGGTGAGTGGCTGTCAGCAACAAAAGACAAGGGGTTGATGTTTGTTATAGGTGATGTATTTCACTCCTAAGCATGTCTTACAGAAAGAATCTACAAACAACTCTAGTTTCCTTCTAAACATAAAGGTTGGAAAAATCGTTAGTGCATGGAGACTTGAACCTTTTAGAAAATTAACTTTTTGTAAGTTAGATGTAAAGTGCACTTAATGTCTCTAAAGATTCCTAATTAACTTGTATCTTGTGTCAAAAATAGCTCCTTACCAACTATTAATGAGGAAGCGTTAGAGATTTGTTTAAATGTGGCTCGGAACTGTTAAGAAAGTGAAACTAGTTTTTCACGCTTGCTTTCTTTCTTTATGCTAGCAAAACGACCTCCTGTCTTGATTTGTGGAATTAATGCAAAGTAAAAAGTGTGCATGCCTTTTGTTCAGATGTGTGAAACTATTGTTATCCAGCAACACTTAGCTCAGAAATGGCAAAAATAGAGTTATAACACAGTTAGTGGAGCATCACAGGGTGCAACTCGTCCCTCTTTCATGAAACAGATGTTTCTTCTTTTCTTCAAACTGTATAGAATGGTTCTGTTCTTATCTGAGTGACCGGAGCTTCTGTGTTAAAGTTGGCTTCAGCGCACATTTCCTGCGAGGTTCCGCAGGGCTCGATTCTTGGACCCCTTCTGTTTTCACTGTACCTGCTGCCTTTGAGGTCTATCCTCAGGAAACCACTATCTAGGGCACCTGGGGGAGCAGATGGTGGGGGTTAAGGGCCTTGCTCGAGGGCCCAGAGTGGAGCAAATAAGGGTGGAGGAAGGTGTGGCTGCTTCACCTTTTCCACCCACATTTTTGATGTTGTCGATTCGGGGAGTTGAGCTGGCGACCTTCCAATCACAGACTTACCTTCTCTAACATCTAACAACCACTTCCCAGTTTTAAAAACTGCTTAGTAATTTCATAATCCATACTGTTAACCTATAATTCATTATAGAGATTAAATATTTAGAAAATGTTATGTTCTGTTTAAGGGGAGAGGATGATGAAGAATGTCACTCATTTAATCTTTTGTAAACATTAAAGGCTCAGTGTGAATCATTTTAGGCCACACCGGAACAATCTCTGAACCTGCCATGAAGTTTTAATTATTTTTGGTGTAAAATAAACAAAACTAAACTCTTCAGTTGAACAAGTTCTGGGCTGTACGGTGGTGAAATTTACACTCATAATTGGGAGGAATAAATGTTGCCATAAAACAACAAAACGGTTTCAGAGAACACGTTGCTTAATTCAGAAGCACAATAATGCTGTTCTGCAGCTTGTTTTTGTGGTTTTAGAGTGAAATCCAGTCAGACTCAGTCAGTAAATCACCGCACCATGCTCTTATTAGATTTACACTTATTCTGATGTTCACAGCTGGTGTGTGTATTTAATCATTTATGATAAACAAAGAACCTTTATTTGTTAAATCTGAGCCAGGCGTTGGGAATTCACCATGAATTTGACATTTTTTAAGTGCACCTCTTTTTATAAAACAACGTTCCAGTATCTTTGGAAAAGGGTCAAACGTGTTGTATGGTTCTAAGAACTGTGTTACGAAACACCGGAGTCAAGTGAGCCGCCTGCTGGCCGTGCAGATGTTTGTGGGTTAATCTGAAGGGTTAACAGAGATTAAGGGATAATTACAGAGGTTGTGTTAATGGATACACTGACACAGCAACACACACACTCAGTTCATGCATTTTGTTTTCGAAGCACATCTACACAGAATGAGCGAAGCTCGAGGTTTCAAACATTCAGGAGGAATAATTGAAACAGAAGCGTGACTGAACGAACACACGCTTTGTGATCTCTTCTTCTTCTTCTGTCTGTTGCGGTTTGTGTGCGACGCAGCAAACGACGAGAGGAAAGAGGCACTCGGGGCGAGTCCTCGAGCGGCGCAGAGAACAGAGGGTCGGAGAACGGCTTCACGCACGCCGTGATCAAAAGCGGCGAGAGCGCGACCGTTTGGCTGCGGCTTGTCGGCCACACCGATCTCAGATCAGATCAAAGCGGACCGGTTCGGCCTCCGTCCTTTGGCGACGGCGCTTTAACGCTCGGCCCTCGGGGCGCTTTGTCCGAGGTGGAACACGTGTAGTGTTCAGATGAAGGTGGAGCAGAACCACAAGGCCTCACAGGTCATGTGACCTCTGCAGACATGAAGGATCAAATGTGAACGCGCTCATCAGACGCACGGCGTTATTCTTTGACGATAAAAGGGTCAGGCGAACATCTCAGCTAAAAGACATTTGCAGGCTGAACGTTTCAACACGTTTCATGCAGAAGATGTAAAAACGCTTCAAGGAGGAGTCAACACACACTGTTTAGACAACAACAACAAAACAAAAACACGAGAGGAAACCGATCCAAACAAGGCTGGGTCTGAGCTGTTATTAGTGATAACTACACAAATGATCATTTTAGCTAAAAAACAGCGTGTGTTGGATGCGTTTGCTGAAGTAGCTGAAACTTAGTTTAAATTTATAAAAGAGAAAATAAGTTAAAAAGGAGCCGAACAAAAACTAAACTGAACTAACAGTGAAAAACTAAAATAATAAGAGCAGCAGCTAAATGTCAAATAGGCTGAAAGTAGCCAAATGATAAAAAGCTAAATGTAACAAAACTGTAGCTAAACGAAGCATTTACAAAAGTAGCTAAAAGTTAACATGACCAAAACTGTAGTTAAACTAAAATTAGAAAAGTAGCAGCTAAATGTTAAAATAAGCAAAACAGCAGCTAAAATTTGTTCAACTAGATAAAAACTAAATGTAGAAAAATTATATCTAAGAGATAAAATCAGTGAAATCATAGCTAAAAACTCAAATATTGCAGGACTAGCTAAAAGCTAAAATAAAACAACTAAAAGCAAAAATGTAGCTTAAAGCCCAATGAAACAAACTGTAGCTAAAAGTAAAACTGACAACAGTAGCAAAAACAAAGTGAGCAAAACTGTAGTTAAGCTAAAATTAGAAAAATGGTAGCTAAATGTTAAAATAAGCAAAATAGCAGCTAAAATTTGTTCAACAAGCTAAAAGCTAAATGTAGAAAATTACATCTAAAACATAAAACAGTGAAATTGTAATTAACAGCTAGAATTTTGCATGACTAGCTTAAAAAAATAAAACAACTAAAAGCAAAAATCAACAAAAATTTAGCTAAAAGCTAAATCTAGCTAAATGCAAAATTTACAAAAGAGAAATTGAGCAAAACTGTAGTTACGTTAAAATGAGAAAAATGGCAGCTGAATGTAAAAATAAAACAGCAGCTAAAATTTGTTCAACTAGCTAAAAGCTAAATATCTAAATGACAAAATCAGTGAAATCGTAGCTAAAAACTACAATTTTGCACGACAATAGCTAAAAGCTAAACGTAGCATAAGAACAACAAAATGTAGCTGAAGTAGCTCAGATTTTAGAGAACAAAGTTTTTAGAGGAATTGAAGAGAGCTCAATGTAGTTTTATGAAACATTATTTAAAATAAATTTAGTCAATGAAGTCACAGAATTAAAGTATAAAGTTACAAATACTACGACTCAAAGGACATTATTCTGAACCAAATTAAATATTTTGTAAAAACTCAGCAGAAACAAAAACACACACTGTGCAGGTCCTACGACTTCCCAGGATGTGATTTACCCTCTGAGTGGTGGGACAGGATGAGGAGGTTCACGCAGGAGGCTCCTGCTCCGGAGCCGAAGATGGTGATCCTCTCCGGGTCTCCGCCGAAGTGCCCGATGTTCTCGTTGAGCCAACGCAGAGCTTGAATCTGGTCCAGCAGGCCGTAGTTCCCTTTAGCAGACTGATCTCCAGTACTGAGGAAACCTGGATGTTCCAAAACCAGAATGAACGATGGAGAGTTCAGGATGAAGGAAGAAGAGAAGCAGGTGAGGTGAGAGGAGGAAGATGAAGAGCAGAGATGGGACAGACAGAGACGTTAGTGAAAAGTGTTTTCTGGAAGTGATGAATTCTCCTTTAGACAAGAGAAAACTGCAAGTCTGCAAACGAGTCTAGACCTTCGAGTTCATGAAACGATCCCAAAGAACTTGAAAAATTTAATTTAGAGACGGCACCAAAAACTTTAAATGGAACCTAACTTATTAAATTGATGACATTTTACCTGTATTTTGAAAAACGCCTTCATCAGTTGTTAGTGATTTTACAGAATATATGTTTATTTGTCACATTGAAGAAAGGAATAAATCTGTTTCAAAGAATGAGACTGTGAGAAAACTATAAAGAGAAAGTTTCCAAACAGAAGCTGTTAAATGTAAAAAAGGATCCAATGATTTTAACGATTTCTGACAATGTCCTCATGACTTGGGTAAAAAAAAAAAAAAACGTGATTTTTATAAATAGGCTCAACACTTTTTTAAATGTTTGTAGCATTTTACATTTTTCATTTTGACTATAAATCTTTTGGGAAAAGCAGGAAAATAATTATTTTCAATACAGTAAACCTCTAATGCATCACAGCGCTGTGCAGTGAATTCGACATGTAGGGAAAGTGAATGAACAGAAAGCAGCACTGTAATTTAACCCTAAAGCAAAAAAAAAAAAAATCAATTCATCCATAAAATTCTTTAAGACGTCTTCAGTTAATCCAGAGTCTTAACTGGAGTTAGAAGAGATCATCTCTCTCCAGTTTTAGCTTCTCTCCATTGACTCTCTGTCAAATCCAGAATTGAATTCAAAATCTTACTTCTAACTTACAAAGCCCTCAACAACCTAGCTCCATCTTATATTACAGACTGTATTGTTCCATATTTTCCTAACGGAGCCCTTCGCTCTCCGACTGCAGGTTTACTTGTGGTTCCTAGAGTTTCCTAAAGCAGAATGGGAGGAAGATATTTGTTATCAGGCTCCTCTCTTGTGGAACCAACTTCCAGTTTCTGTCCGTGAGGCTGACACGTTGTCCAGTTTTAAGACTGGGCTTAAGTCTTTCCTATAGTTAGGGTCAGCTTGGGTTTCCTGAGCTATCCCTTAGTTATGCCGCTATAGGCTTAAGACTACTGGAGGACAAACTGACCACATCTCCTCACTCTGCTGCTGTCGTTACTTGCCCTTCTCTCCCTGTTTGTATTTGTAATTATTTCTATCTTAACGTGTTTTTTGTCTTTCCTCCTATAGAAAGTTCACCTGTACCTGCCGTTCTGTTTAGTCTGTTTCTACTTCCTGTTCCTCTCAAACCCCAGCCAGTTAAAGGAGATGGCCGCTCGTCCTGAGCCTGGTTCTGCTGGAGGTTTCTTCCTGTGAAAAGGGAGTTTTTCCTTCCCACTGTCTCCTTTGTGCTTGTTCAGGATGGGAGACTGTGACAAAGTGAAGACTCAACACACTCGGCTTCCTTTGATAGAGAACTTTACTAATTGGCTCTTTTTTTAATGTATGTGAATGTTTTTGTTCAGTGTCCCGAGACAACTTCTGTTGTGACTTGTTGCTATAGAAACAAACTGAATTGAATTAAATTGGACCCCTGTGTGGTAAACTCTGTTCATGCTGCAAGTTTTCACCAGAATACCAAATATAAATATTGGAGCTGCTGTTTATTCTGATTTATTTATTTTTTTTAGATAAAATTGATCAGTTTCACCACCTGTTTAAATAAACTGTTAAGCTGGTTTAGTAAAACTTTACCACATATACATTTTTTTCCCAACAACAGTTGTTACACAGAAACAAACGGGATGAGAGCCACAATAATCTGGTTATTTGTCTAAAACTGTGAACATTGCCTTGCGTCTATGTAAAATATAAATTAAAAACTAAAACAGACGTACGAGAGACAGAAAAACTCGCGTTTCCTCGTACGTTTCGTTGACTGTTCTTCCTCTGAATGTGTTTTTACTTTCAACACCGACATCTTGCCTCTGTGTTTCCAGCTGATGTAAAGTCCTAAAGCCTCTTTGTTCCGTTTAAATCAAAGTAACGATAGGTTCAACGTTCTCTTGTTGACATTTACCTCTCATGAATACTATTAAAAGCTCTTCGATTGTTCTCAAGACATGAATCAGTTCTAACACAATTAACTGCCTCTCACTGAAACTTACGTCTAATTAGACCTTCAGTAAAAATGCGTCTGCAGGACCGGCTGTTCATTCGGCTCATTTTAAACATTTAGAAACTGATAATGTCAGGCTGAAACTCGTAAACAAACAGGAGCAGATTTTATACGACTTCCTCTAATTCAAACCAAATCACAAGTTAAATAAAGTCACTCCACTGCAAATATTACACATATTAAGAATGAAAACTAAAAAAATTAGCAATTAAATATATATGACGTGTTAAAAATAGGCGCTCTAATCCTTATTGCCTTAACGTTTGTTCTGTGACAAGCTGTGGAGAGAAACTGCAGCTCGTGGGGAAAAAGACGCCGCCGTGTGGCCAAAGCACGACGAACAGATTTACTTTACAAACAGGACGATGTGAAACTGGAACAGGCTAAAGTGGAAAATTATAGAAGAAAAAGCGTGAATGTGTTTGTAATTTATGATACCAAATACAGTACGCAACAAAATGCAGGGGAAAAAAGGATTTAACGCATAAATGCAATTAAATTAAAGTTGTAACGAGAGTCTATGAGACAAAGAGCTTCTCATGCAGAACAGAGCAACAAATGCTTTTTAAGCTGATAAAAAAACCAAAGAAATCAAACAAATTGAAACGGTCCCGGCTGTAAAATGATGGATTTGGATCCAACGGGACTGAAGGGACAGACGGTGGCAGCAGCTCCACCTAAAACTGGAACACAAAACCTGCTTTGATAAAAGCAGGAGCCGAGATTTTAAGAGTCATAAGACGGTTTCTGAGAACTTATCTTGTTCCTGTTGTGGCTGCAGAGGTTTTATCAACCGAGTGAAACTTCCTCAGGGAGAGAAACGCAAAATGAACTTTTCCTGATGCGCCTCCTTATCAACGGCGCCTCCTTCAGCTTCTCACCAACTGTAATTGATTTGGACCAATAACTCTGATCAGAACTGGATCGTCTTTTTGTTTAGTGAAGATGTTTTCCTTCTCATCTTCACGTTTCACATCTAGACTCAGTCGTCCACCTACAGCTGAAGGATACGAACATTTTGGATGGAGGACAAAGATGGTTTGATTGAAGAAAAGACGAGGTTTCTACTTCCATCCATTTTTACTCCAATTCAGATCACGATGCATGCGACTAAAACGTCTTCTGTCCAATTCAACAAAAACGTTGTAGGGACAAAGGATCTAAAGGCTGCATTTCATCTAATAAGCATGGTTCTACTTGAACACTTGCTGGGAGTGATGGCGCAGAGGTTAGAGAAGATGGGCCTGTGTTTGTAAGGTTGCCGGTTCGATTCCCCGGATGAACATCATTAAAATGTGGGTGGGAAAGGTGAAACACCCACACCTGCCTCTACTCTTGTTTGCTCCACTCTGGGTCCTTGAGCAAGGCCCTTAACTCCCATCGTCTGCTCCCCGGGCGCCATCGATAGCAGCTCTCTGCTCCACACAGAGGGCCGTGGTAGCTCGGTGCTCTGCGGTTGGGTCAGGAAGGACATCCGGCGTAAAAAATAACTGCCAAGTCTTTATGCGACTTAGTTTGTTTTGGTGACCCCTGAAGAAGGGAGCAGCCGAAAGAAGAAGAATAATATATATATATATATATATATATATGTATAATCAACTTTTATTTTGAAATGAGAGACTTTAAATGAGCAGAAAAACAACAACAACAAAAAGCTTTTAGGCAAATTTCGTGTCACGTTTCATGAAAAACTGAAGGAGCTAGCCCTCGTTTTAAACACCTCATCTCATGACTTTGTGCTCCTCCTTAACCTCCACACATGAAAATAAGGAGCACGTTTAGGTAAATTAATTAAGCAGAGTACAAACAAGAGGCGAAAGAGCTGCTGAATACCCTACTGTAACCACCATGATAAATTAAACACAACAGTTATGCTAATTAGGTCATTAATTAGGCTAATTAATATAAAACGTAGCAGTAGCTGGGTGTCGGTATGCTGTTCTGATCATAACATGGCTTCAGAAGTGCCATAACGTCCAGGTATTAGAGGGAGGTAAAAACAAAAATATGCTCCTCATCGTTATTGTGCAGCTTAATGGAGCATCAAATGTTTTGTTTTTCTGTTTTTAACTGCTTAGCTGAAACGTTTGGTGCGCTAATGGACCGGCATCAGACAGAGCGAGCAGACGGCTGAAATATTTGTGTTATTTTGTTGCAGCCGAAGCTGTTGTCTCGGCTGCACCTTCACGCTGCGCCCATCTGACAACGATTCAGTGTGAAACAACACCCCCCTTCAGCACCCTCTAATCTGATAAAAGGAAAAATGGAGGCTTGGGTTCAGGCAGAGTGTCGCAACATAAAAACGCTCTGAATGGATAATATTTAAAATGGGTTTGGTGTGGAATAGTGGCTAAAGTGAAGTGGAGAGAGAAGGAAAAGGCGAAGGGGAGGACAGTGGGTGTTCTGTGACTCCCGGATATATTCATAGTGTTTCATCTGCCTCCAAGACACCAGGACTTGGCTCAAACACCGGCACACAAATAGGGACGCTGATCAAAGTGTGACACTATAGAAAAAGAAAAAAAAAACTGCCACTTCTCTCCTTTTCCAACCCCTCAGTGCTCAGGGACCCACCGGCCATGTACAAACTCTACATCTTTACAAAGAGGAGACACAAGTTCAGAAAATGTGAATTGGACAATGTTTCCATGCATTAGAGCACTCAGATACACAGAACCTGCGATAACGTGGCTGGACCAGGGAACATTTGAGCCCAGAGTTTAGCTTTTATTGTCCTTCAAGGCGACATTTGGTTTTACAGCAGCAG